AAAAATTAAATTCTTCTTTTACATTTTTTATTCTAAATTTGTATTGCTTTAGTAAAATCAAATTCAGATAAATTCTTTTTCTCTAATTTAACTATCATTAAAAAATGTAATGTTTCAATATTTAAAGATTTTCGTAAATTAGTTTTTATCAAATTTTACTTTGAAAACCTATGCTCACAATCTACTGATAAAAATAGAATAAAATATATGATACTTAGTAATTTGATAATATTCAGAAATGTATCATAATAAAATTCAAACAATCTTAAAATCAACAATTCAATTTCTATTTTTTTAAAATTAGCATGTACTATTGCTTTATATCCAAACCATTCTTTACTGATATTACTATTATTAATAATTTGTTCTTTTTCATAAAATTCTGCTAAAATATTCAATTCTACTTCATCATATTTTGTTAATTCTTCTTTACTATCTGGTCAATTTATATAATCAAATATTTTTATTAAATTAAGTATTGGTCTATCGAAAAATCTTTCATGAATTTCTGCAATAATAGCTAATGCAAAAGATTAAATATCAATAATTAATTCTATTTCATAAATTTCTTTTCATAATAATTGATGTGTACCAATATTGCAATTGCCTTCAGATGATATATTTAACAAGAATTTATTTAAATTTTCTTCTAATAATATTTTTCCCTTATCATTAAAATCTAAAATTCTTGTTGAATTTTATTGAAAGTTAGTTCTATTATTAAATCCATATCAGATATTAGTATTTTTTTCATTGAAAAATCTTGCTTAAAATTGAAAAATATCCAAGAATATCCTATAAAAAATGAAGAAAAGCAAGAAATTTCTAATCACAAATTTTTGTATATAAAGAAATAAAATTCTGCTTTTGAATATGATTAGTTGTTGTAGTTATTAATTCTAATAATGTATCCATTAAAGGTTTGATTGAAAAACATAAATTTTTAACTGCTTTATACTAAAAAAGTCATCTATTTTCATAAATTTGTTTAATCTTTAAGATTAGATGATTTAATATTTCTTGATATTTGTGTAAAGTATTTATTCTTTTGCTAGAGTTAGAAAAAATTTGTATATCAATCTCATAATATATTCAACATGTTTGCAAAATAATACTTTTTTTCTGCTGAATTATAGGCTAAAGCTAGCCTATATGCAATGCAATATATTATAAATAAACACTTGTTTCTTTCTTTGATTCTTAACACTACTCCTATTAATTTTTCTAATATAACGCTTTTCCTATCTGAAGCAAATGACATAAGATTATTTGTTAATCCTAAAAAAATATTTTAAATTAATTTTAAAAATTAATTTAAATTAAACAATAGATTATAAAAAAAACTCACCTTTTTCATTGAATAAACTAATAATTAATTCAAAAATAGATCTTGAATCTTTATTCTTTAGATGAAGTAATTTTAAAAAATGAATTTTAATATCTTTATATAAATAATATTTAACATATATAATAAGGTGTGGTTCACATAAAATATCAGTACTTTCATCAGTCATTATACCAAATGCAATAGCTTCATCTAATTTCTTTCAAATAGCTTCTTCTATTGAATTTGAAATAGCTGATAAAATTTGACGTCTAGAGACATGATTTTCATATGTGATTGGATTAGAACTTGACAATAATTGGAAACATTCAAGAGACCTACAAAGTTATACAACTTTAGGTAATTTGTTTAACAGAACATCATTTTCTGCTAGCTAAAAAACTATTTTTATTAAAGCGTTAATATGATGTTGAGCTTTATCTATAGCATTATTTGTAACTTTTACAAACTCTGCCTTTATAATTTCATAATTTGTTATATTAGTATAATTTTTTATTAAAGTATGTTCTCTTAACGCAAAAGATTTAAAGTTTTTTGAGCCTAATAATGATAATTTTAATTAGATTTAATAATTAGCATATTTATATAAATAAATCATTTTATTATCTTAAATAAAAATCATTACCTTCTTTTCCAAATTTATTTTGCTTGTTATAGAATTTGCATAATGAATAAAACATTAAATTTTTTGACGAGTCATAAATTAGCTATGAATATAAGTTCAACCACTTTTTTGAAAAACACCAGTCTTTTTAAGTCTGAAATTTTACTTTTTCTTAGATATTTTATATTTCTTTATTATATACTTATGATTATTATTCAGTTCAATATTAGTTTCTTGTTCTGAACTTAAATCCATATCACTAAATTCAGATATATCATTAATTTCTATATTTATATTGAGAATTTTTGTAAAGTATTGTTGAATAGATATTATTCTTATAAAAAATTATCATTGCGATTAGTAACAACTATAATGATAGATTTTGATATTTTGCATGAGTTTTAAAAAAAAAACCATATGACAATCAATTATATTATATTTTATTATAATATGTCACTAGCATACAAGAAAATTTGTCAGACAGAGATCCATTACTTGTGAAATTTGCCAGAAAAAAATTCAGAATAGAAAATTTTTATCAAAAATTTCAGATTTTACCAGAATTTATAGTACTATTTTCAGCCTTGTTGGAAAGCTATTTCATTACTAAATAGAGTTATTTTTCAATCATCATCCTTATGTTTTCAGCCTATTCAACTCATTTTTATTTATGGATTTCAGTTAGCATTAGTATATAAAGAGAAAGTATATTTTAATATTCAAGTTTAGCTAAATGTCTCGAAACTGTTGAGTGAGAGACTTCTACTCTTATATTTTCCAATTTTATAGCAATAGACCTAGCAGTAATTAAAGGTTCTCTTTGAATAAACTGTCTAATTACTTAGGATACATGTAGGATTATTTTTTTAATGCAATCGCTACTATTTTTATGTTTAATATCTCCATTCTCTTTTAATTTTTTAAGATTGTTATATATTGTTCTAAGTGGAATCTTTATTCTTGAAACTAAAAAAAATGAGAAAGATGAAAAAAAATAATAATAATAATAAAATAAATACACATGATTACTTTTAAATAAGCTAAGAAGAAGCTAAATAATAAAAAAAATAATTGTTATGATCTATATAATCAAACCTATTTAAAAATAAAAATAAAAAATATTTAATGAAAAATTTGCTGATGTAAATTAAAGTGATCAAAACAAAAGACTTAAAAAAAATGTAAATAAAAAAACTAAATCATCAATCAAACATGAATAAAATCACCAAATATTAAAGAAAAAATATTTTCTATTCCTATAAAAGTGATTTAACAAAGGCAGAAAATTCCAAAAAATAATACTTGAGATTTTGCTATTAAAATCATCATATAGAACATTGTTATACTAATTTTATTAGAAAAATAATTTTGAAATTTAAATAAAATATTTTTATTACAAAAATTATCAAAAAATAATTTTTAATAAAAATTCTTTTTTTAGCAACTTTAATTTTTAAAAAATTATTTTTTTTATGTTTATTTTTTTTTTTTAAAAAACAAAAAATTAACAGAGTATTGTTTAATAAAAAATTTTTATTATAGATATAAATCTCTTTAGACCCATTTAAATATCCATTCAAAAATTTTGTGTTGATTATTTCTAAAATCTAATTATAGATTTTTAACCAAATAAAGCTCATATATCATATAATAATATGAATCAAAAATCTCATTTTGGTTGGAAAGCTGATTTTAATAGCTTAGTTTCCATATATGATTATTTATAAATTTAGATTTAATAAATATTAGAATCATATGAATCATATGTTAAATACAGTAAGTTTGTAATAATAGTATAATAAAGTATATTAAATATTACTTATACTATAAAAAAAAGAAAAGTTTATAATCTTTTTTAATAAGTAGTAATTTTTTAATTATAAATATTAGTAATTAAATAAAAAAATGGTTTTGTAAAATTAATTTACAATAAATTTTTACAAATATACTCTATAAAATAAATGTTTCTTTAAATATATAATTTAAAATTGTATTTATCAAATATATTTATAAAGAGTTGACTGTATTTGACATTTGGCGCTCATTTATAAGTTCATTTTTAAATATAAATATATAACGAGACTAGCAAAGGTTTGCAATTGTATTGATCCTTTACATGTAGAAAAAATGAAATATTTTATTTTAATTATGTAATATTTATATTGCAATTGATAGCTTTACTATCAAGGTTGCTGAGATTGTGATTCTGTAAGAAATAAGAAAATTTATTTTGGTATGCATACCATCCAAAATTTTTTCATTTCATTAATCTCATTCATATTATATGAAAAGTTGATTTTTCTTGATTTTGTGGAAAATCATCGAATTCATAATTATTTGTTTCATAAAGTAGTGATAATGTTAAAAAATTACAGAATATTTGAATCTATCACAATAATTAGTTACTTTTGTATAAAATAAATAAAATATAATATAAAATATCATTCATCCTAATGCCAACATTGTTTTTCAAGCGAAGCTATTTTGTGGCGTCACGAAATCAACACTATTTATTTGAACCTTAAGCCGAGCATTCTTGCCAAGTTTTGCCAGTTTCACCGAATATGAATTTTTTTAGTGTAATAAAGAATATATATAAAGAATTATTTGTAATACCTATCCAAATAAGGAATGACATTATAAGAAGTTTTTTTGTCCATTCCATTGCTTCCCAAAACACTATAATAGTACATATTTGGAAAACAATTAAATCCACGTGCATTTTAATTCGTAATACGGAGAATTTCGTGATTAATTAAGGGGCAAAATTAATTGATTTTAAGTTGCATCATGATGTTTTTATATAAATACTATTTTTAATTTTTGTTTGTTTTCCTTTATCCTTGTTTCTCCCCTAATCCCCCTTCTTTACATTCCTTTTTCTCATTCATTCATTTCATTTTTTTTGTTGTATTTCATATAAAAGTTTTTCATTTTGCATGAAACTCACGATCCCTACGCTTTTTTTACCAATTTTTTTCTCTTTACACTCAAAGGTCTAACTTAAACCTTTAAATTTCGTCTCAGCACTATTAACATTAGCCTTGAGTCATGGCATATCGTGATAATTCCGGTTCCTTCCAAGCTTTAAAATGGATTCAATTATTATTTTCGTTTCTGATATTCATTCTGGGTATGAATCATGATTTATTCATTTCTATTTATTTATTCTCATTATGTTTCATGTTGAACTTTTTATTTTTTTTGTTTTATTAGAAATGGTTGAGCTTGGTGCTACCATGAATTATGACAGAAAATATGGCGCAGATCCCCCAAGTTTGAATCTGTAATTATGGTTTACGGGTCTTTAAATTGTATGTAATCCATATACGCATTAACGCATTCTTTTGTAAATTTAGAGGAAGAGACTTTGCCAAAAAATACATTTATTTTGTTTTCGGTTTAAGTATTTTCTGTCTAGGTAAACATCTAAATAAAAAGTTCTTTTTTTTTTTGAATGGCTTGTTTATTTTATTTTTTATTTTTTTTTATTTTCAGCTTTATATCTAGTACGGTTTCAATATTTTTGGAAATCGAAACACGGTCCTTTCCTTTGGATTGAAATGTATGCATTTTATTTTTATTATTAGTTTAGAAAATCATTTCATTGTAGGATCCAACATTTTTTTTTTTTATTTACAGATCATTTTTAGCATTATGGTTCTCGGCAGGTAGGTTTTTATTTTAATTGTTATTGTTATGGTAATTATTTTTATGTCAAATCTTTTAAACAAAAAAAAACATTTCCTGAAATTTAGCGATGGCAAACTTTGACGATATCTTTAAAGGCCAATTCACAAGCTGCGCAAATATTCACTCATTTTTTTCGGAAAAGTCAATCACTCCACAAGAACCATTAACAGCATGTAATACTTATATTGCATCATTAATATTTTGTTGGTTAAATACGCTATCGTTTGCTTTATCAACATTTATTTCATGGAAAATCCGAATTGAAAAACGTGCAAAAATACAACAAACAAGAAGGGTTAAAGTAATGAAATTTCATGGCGGAGGTGATAAATCTGATATGAAAAGGGCTACATTTATTCGAGTTGAGTCTCGTGATGAAAATAAAGAATTTATTAAAGGTGTTGTTGAAATTAAGATCGATAAAGGTGAAAAGTCTTAATAGGTTAAAGCTATTCAAAAGAGATTTTACTATAATTGGATAATTTAGTTTAGCTATTTTTTCAATTTTATTTTTTTTTTTCTTGCATAAATTTCATATTTGTATATTTCATTTGCATTTTACATTTCATTCATTATAAGATTATTTTTGCATTATACATAAAGCACATTACTTTTATTTATTTTTTTTTTTTTTTGTATAAATAAACAAAAATGAACCGCGTGAGATTGTTCTTAATGGGAAACCCTGATCTTCCGAATAATTTACCTGATTCTCGGATTTAATACAATGGTGGTTATCATGTGAATTTAAATAATCTTGTTCACTGTTTAAAATCAAAACTAGTCTCTCTGCAATTAATAATACTTTCATTGAAAAAAAAGATTCTCTTTATAGTGTTTCCGACTATCTAAATTGGGAAAATTCAAATTGCGAAAAGCGAATTTTCTCCCATTTTCTTAATTTGAATCACATGATATTCAACAAACAATCGAACGTGTCGGAAAAAAGCCATTTTCGGATCTTCAATACAACACGAAAATCTCGAAAAATCTGAAAAAACCGACTTTTGTAGATCTTAGATCTTTTTAAATATATATATCAATGGTGTAATTTTTTACAATTCAAAATATCAATACATCAATTCATCAATTCAAACTTTTAATATGCATCAAAGTTTATCACAAACACTCAATTCCGAAATTCCTTCAAGAAAGGAAAACCTTCCTGAAACCGGCGAAATTATACAACGAAGTGAAAGTCCTACGCCTCTTCGTAAGAACATTAATTGTCAATTAACCTTTTTTTTTTTTTTTTGCAAAGCTCGCTCAACTTTTTTTTTTACTCTCTTATAGTAAGTCTAAACCGTCTTACACAAGAGCAAGATACTTTACTTAATAAACCAAGTCACACGATAACGCTTGGAAACTCGATACTTTCCTTAGCATGTTCCAATGAATATCTATTTAGCGGTTCTCAAGAACCTTCTATTCAGGTAAATATAATGAATTTAATTGGTATTCTGTTGAAGCTGCCAGTTTTTGAAGGTACGGTCATTGTTGCTGGAAACTTAATTAAAGTTTGTAATTATTTTAGGTATGGGATTTAATTACGTTTCAACCGAAAGCTGTGTTAAAAGGACACAATGGTGGTGTCTTATGTTTAACTCTCTCAACGGATCAAACAATGTTATTTAGCTCATCTGGTAAGTAAATCATAATTGAAAGATATACATATTTACTTGAATCGGATTTGGTTTTTAACCTTGTTTAATTAAAAAATCATTTATTTTTATTTTTATAAAGGTGATAGCACTGTTCGGGTAAGTAATCTTTGATATATATTCAAGTTTTTATATTTGTTCTTCGTTCCGCCCACATTTCATTTATCTCGTATAGGTATGGAGAGTTGATACTCTAGATGCTCTTTACGTTATTCAACCGTGTTGTGATGTTGGAGATCTATTTTCGGTGGTTTATTCTGATGAATTAGATACAATATATATCGGTTGTCAAAACACTAGTATACTAGTAAGTCATTTTTATCCTTACCCTTTCAATTACTACTTTCCGTAACTAAAGAAAACAAAATTGTATGAATATATCTCTTTCAGCGTTTCGATTTGTCTACAAAAGAAAAATATCGAACAGAATATCCTTCACGTTCATGCAATTTCTCTAAATTTTTTGACGCTTTATCATCAAAAACATGCGGAGTAGTTACACCGATCGAAGAAAAAGAAATCGATGCAAAGATTTCCGCGGTACAAGAAAATGTTCAAAGATTTGAAGTTGATGATAGTATGGTTCATATGAATAGTCACAATGGTTATGTGTATTCTTTAATATTGGGAAAGAATAAAGATGGAAGAATTCTTATAAGTGGTACGTAATATAGATATCAATTTGTAAAGAATTATAAAAAAAGGACTGTTTTTACCAGGCGATCTTCACCGGTGTCACATGATAGTATCATTAATATGTTTTCACATATTCATCACCAACTACCGCCTCGACATTAGTAAAAATAACTGGGGGCCAGCCTCAGGCTCTCCAGTACTTAACTTTGACCGAACCCTAACCCTAACCCAAACCCAACCTCTAACCCTTATATTTACAGAAGTTAAATTATTGACCTAATTTATATGACATCGGTGTTGATCTCAATCATAATTTGTTTTTGCAAAAAGTAAAAAGTATAATTAATTGAATAACTTTTTTTTAATTTAGGATCTGGAGATGGAGATGTTAAGGTAATTTAAATTTAGACATTCATTTATATTTTTTCTTCATTAAATTTGTATCTTAATTTTTTAGGTGTGGTCAATCACAAAGGATTCTATGGAACTTTTAAGAGTACTTAAAGGTACAGATGCTGGCATCTTAACATTTGCCATGCATGATGAATTATTATTTTGTGGTGCACAAGGTGGTGATATTAAGGTTTGTGGTTTTTATTTCTCGAATTTATTTATTCATAATATGAAAATGCAACATAAATTAAAAAAAAATACGTATTTTTTTTTATTAAAAAGATTTATGATTTGGAAACGTATCAAGTAAGTTGATAAAATATTTATTGTTGGGGGGTTTTTTTTTTTTGCAAAATTTTAATTTATATATATTTAATAGCATATTAGGTCACTTATGGCTCATGATGTAAGTTTAAATGTACAGATTTATTTGATTTTTTTCTTTAAAGGAATTATTATTGATTTTTATCGTTTTACAACTAGGATGATATATTAGCTTTGACTATAGGAGATAACAATCTATTTTCTGGATCAGCCGATGGAATTATCAAGGTTATATTAATATCTTGTTGCTTAAAAAGTAATCCAATAATTGTTGTATCTAAGATATTTATATATTTATTTAGAGATGGAATAAAACATTTGAGATATCAAATACTTATAAAGATCATACCGGAATTGTTTTGTCATTAACTGTATCTCCACCTAATCATAAATTAGGTATAAATAGGTCATGGTTGATTAGTGCTAATGACCAATTAATCAAAGTATATTTTACGTTATTTTTTAATTGGTTTTATTGTTATTATTATTGAAATGTTCATTAAAATTATATTCTTTAATTATAAAAAAGTTTTGGGATTTGGAAACAACGAACACTGATTTGCTAGAAGCGGCTGTTTCGGAAACTACAGGTAGGGATTAAAATTAAGATATCAAATAATCAGGACATTTTTTAAATAATTTCAATTATTTATTTCATGCAGATGTTATGAGGTATGCTCTATCCAAATGGATCTCGTTGCAAACAGTTAGCGGGAATTCGAAATTTTTAGAAGAATGCTTTAGAGGCGCTAAATTTTTAAAGAGCATATTTGAGCAATTAGGAGCCGATTCATCATTAGTAAGCTATGATCATTAAATTTGGATTTCAAAAAATAAAAATATCAATACCTCTTTATTTTTTTTTATTTTTAGATTCCAGTAGCAACAGGTCAAAATCCATTGGTTTTTGGTAAATTTAATGGAATTAATGATAAACAACAACACAGACGTTTAAATGTACTTGTTTATGGGCATTATGATGTTATTGATGCGGATGAAACCAAATGGCTTACAAATCCCTTCGAAATGATTGGTAACTGGTTAAATCATTTTTACAGAAAAAAAATATCATTAATAATAATAATAATAATAGTATTATTATTATTATTTCATATAGGAAAGGATGGATATCTTTATGGCAGAGGTAAAAGGCTAGTTCATCTATCAATTCAATTAAAATTATAAAATGTAATTATGTTCATTATATTATATGATTTAGGTACTACCGATAATAAGGGACCTATGCTTGCAGCTATATTCGCCGTTAGTGAGTTACAGCAGGAGAAAAAACTTAGAGCAAATGTATCATTTTTAGTTGAAGGTGAAGAAGAAAATGGTAGTATTGGATTTCATGATGTGGTGGAAAAATCCAAGGTAAAAAAAAACCGGATGTGTTTATTTCTTACCGAGGTATTATTTGATTAACAAATTTTTTTATAAAAAATTTGGTAATATAGCATTTGATCGGCGAAGCAGACGTTATTCTATTAAGGTATAATTTTGTTTGCTTTCCTTCTTACCGGCCATAAAAATTCTATATGATAATTTCGATCTTATATATTATATAGTAATTCTTATTGGTTAGATGATGAGACGCCATGTCTAACTTATGGACTTCGTGGAGTAATTGGTGCCACTATTGAAGTAAGTTTTTTGATAAGAACTTAAATCTATTTACCATATAGAATACAAAATAAACTAATTATTTTATTGAATAGATTTTTAGCGAACAAACGGATTTACATTCTGGTATGCAAGGAGGAGCAGTATCAGAACCTTTAAATGATATGATTCGGATTCTTGCAAAACTTATATCAGACGATAATCATATTTTGATTCCAGGTAGATTTAAATTTTAATTTGTAAAATTCGTCAGTCATCATAACTATTTTAAACATGGGTTTAATATTGTTTAATTTTAGGATTTTATGATAATGTGAGGCCCGTTACACCTTATGAAGAGCGATTATATGAATATATTGTGAAATCAGAATCTAGGTAATTTTTCAAGTGCTTTTTTAAATAATTTATAATAAAGACTTTTTTTAAGTTATATTTATTTTCAATAGATCTAAAATAAATAATGCTAATGAAGAGAGGAATTGTAATTCAAAACCGGGCGAAACAAAAGAATCATTAATGTCAAAATGGAGATATCCATCATTAACAATACATAAGATTGATGTTAGTGGACCAGATAATGTTACAGTGATACCATGTAAAGCTAAAGCTAATGTTAGTATGCGTATTGTACCTGATCAAGATATTAATGAAATTGTGAAAAGTTTTGAAGATTTTATTAAAAAGGTTTTTGACGAATTAAAAACCGAAAATAAAATTAATGTAAGTTTTTGACTTTTTCTTCATTTTGATTTTTAAGGGAGAAAAAAGATTGGTAATAACAAATTATTTTGTAGGTCTCTATTAATAATTTGGCAGATTGGTGGTTAGGAGATCCCGAAAATCAATATTTTAAAGCTGCAGAACAAGCAATAGAACAAGTAAATTTCTTTTTTTTTAAAAAACAAAAAGATAATTTGATTTCGATTTTGTATCGTTATTTATTAAATGTTTATTCTTATTCTTAATAGGAATATGGAATCAAACCATTATATATAAGAGAAGGTGGTTCTATACCGGCTGTTAGGTGTTTAGAAAAAAAATTTAATGCCAAAGCAATTCATTTACCAATAGGACAATCTACCGATCAAGCTCATCTAAATAATGAAAGAATAAGTTTACAAAATTTATATGCCGGCAAAAGGATATTTAAAAATTTATTTAATAAATTAAGTGAAAATTGAGATTTATTTATTCATTTATTTGATTTAAAATGAATCTGTTGTAATTGTTGTAATTGTAAACGTAAAATGAAATTTTATTTTGTAAGTTATTTAAATTTGTCGGAAGTTGAATATCTCGCGTTGTTGAAAGAAATGTAGAAAGTTTATCATTTTGAGAAATCAGCTGATATAATAGTTTTAATTTATTATAAGTTCAATACACCACTATATGGGAAAAAAATATATATATATATATAGTTAGAATTCAATTATACTAAAATTATAATTATATTCTAATTTACCTCATCGTTTCCTCCGATTCTTTCTTCAAGATAAGCCACTTCTTGAAAAGTTTCATTACCAACTTTAAATGTGATTTCATGACTACGTACAACAGATTTGCCATGATCAATATGAATATTAATTATATCTTGCGATTTTACAAATGATCGTTTTTCTTTAGACTTGGAATTTCGGAACCTCCAATGATAGTTTACAAAACTAGTTACTATAAATTTTACAATCACTAGTTAGATATTATTTTAACATATATTGAATAAAAATATAATTACCACATCTGCCATCTATATAATCAAGTTTTTTATTTGTTATCTTATGTAACAGAAGAATACGAGAGTCTCGGTAATTTATTATATTATCACCATAATCTGAATTTTCAGTTCCAATAATCCATAAAGAATCAGACGTTGGTAAATTTTTACCTGCAAATACCTTAATAAAGATTATGAAGTTTTAATGTTCATAAGGTAAATTTTAATAAATATAATTTATTAAACATTACTTACTAAACTATAATTATTTTGATAAGTTGTATCGATACTTGTTAAGTATTTTCCCGTAGCAACATGTCTTAAAGCGACACAAGATCCATATTTTATCATTTGATTTTGTTCAAGAATAATTTCTTCAAATTTATTCACTAAGATATCCAAAGATTTAATATTTTCAAACTTATCAGCAAATAATTCTTCTAACAGACTATTTTTTAAAATTTTATTCAAATATTTCTTAACTTCACTAATTTCATTAATTAATTCTGCGTCGTAACAAAGTGAAAGAAATTCTTTCATAAATTTAATATGATAACCATCATCTTTTTCAAACATATATCTCATAGAAGATAATTTTCTTTTAGCATCGTTTTTGTAAACCTTAAAAAATATATCTTGTTTTAAGGCTTCAATTAATTCTTCAATAGTATTCAATTGCGGAACCTTTATATTATAAGTTATTAAGAGTTTACATAAGTTTAAGATTTCTTGGTCTGTCGTTATTTGTCTTTGTTGACAAAATAATCGAACTTGTTGAACCCAATTCTCTGGATGAATCCATCGTATTTCGGTGGTTCCATTATGATTATCAAAAAAAAAAAACCATGAATATCCATCATTTTATCTACTTGCCGCAGCAAAACTTATGATATACCAATACAAACATTTTAAATTATCCCATCAGTATTATGTATTCACCAATGGATTTTTTTATCAATTACTCCACCGGTTTATAATAGACATGATATATTTATATTAATACAACAATTAAGGCGATTATTGAACACGTTGTTGATGTGATTTCATGACTACGTACAACACTATCGTTATGATAAATATGAATATTAATTATATCTTGCGATTTAACAAATGATTCTTTTTTTTTAGACTTGGGCATTTCGGAACCTCCAATAATATTTACCCAAGATAGACAGTCAAAATGATATATGCATTAACTTTTTTTCCTTATTTGTGTAGAGTTCATAACCTTTCATTTTGAGACTAGATCAAAAATAAAATTCATTAAACCTAACCACATTGATAAATATATAATAGCTATAAAATAATTTATAATTGTTCGTTGATTATCACTATTTATTTAGGGAGAAGCAAAACGTATTGAAGGAATGACACCGGCTAACATAGTGACATTATTAAGATATGTACACAAGAAGAAAGGTTCTCGTCAAAGCCAGCATTCACATCGTTTGATTGATAAAACAAATGTAATGCCATAAAGAAATTGGCAGTTCAAAAAATTCAATTTATACTAAACCTAAATATTGAAAATAAAGGAAAGATTTTAATGATTTTTAATTTAAAAGTATCACATGATAAATTTTTTCATGTTTTATTTCTCTCTCAGTCCAATTTGAACATTACAATTTAAGCGCTCTGCAGTGTAATTTTTTTTTATAATTTCCTTTTACTGCAAAACGCTTTAAATTTCGTGTAGAATGAAGCCCTCGCTTTTTTTACGCGTGTAATCATTTTGATACTTTATAAGAGAATATAATGATTACCTTCAATGTAAAAAATTAATTATTATTTTATTAAATTATCAAAGATTTTATTCGGAAAATTCCCTGCACAACCGGTATAGACGGAAGTATGAAATATAGCTCATCCGCTTATTTGTTATTTTTTTCACGCACTCATCCTTTAAATTTTAATATTTTAATACATTTTGATACGGATTATTCTACTTTTTTTTTGTTTCATTAGCTGCACTCTGTAATTTTACTTATAAAACTGCAGTTAATTTAACAAATCAAACAAAAAGATTGAACTTTATTACATTTTTCAACACCATACATTTCCCACTATCTCCCCACCCGCTATAATATAAAAAGATTTATCACTTATAAAGGAAACCAGACTACTTGTAGTTAGCTACCTCTATCCGAAGACATGAAGAAAAAAGCGACGCACTATAGACATCGTCTCCTTCACAAGAGGGAGTGTAAACACTGAAGAATTGATAGGATGGATTCTGTACTTATTTATATTGAAATGTTTGAAATGTTGAAATTGTGGGATTCAAAGATCTTCATGATCTTCATTATCGAACACTATTTTTGGTAATATTTTTCTATATAGTAAATAAATCATGAATTCGTAACGTGATTTTAATAGCAAACCTCCCAAATTTTATTTATTATTTTTTCGCAATTTTTGTCTCCAACATGGGTTAACAATCTTCAAACTATTCACCACGTAGAAATGATAACACTCGTATACTATAACGAAGAAATTTTCTTATACAAAGAATTTTTTTTTTAAAAAAAAGGAAGAAATTTGTGACTTGCAAATTGAATTACAAAAACTTGAAATTTTATTAATGAAGCCGGTTTATGATGAATTAATCAAATCCAAAGATGAATAAAATAATTTATTAATGTCTTAACAAATAAAAGAATTACATTTACTTAATTTGAAATTTATACAAATCGATTAGAAATATCTCAAATTATACAACCGAAAAATGAATTTTTATGGAATTCGGTATATTTTAAATATTATAATAAATATAACGGACTTAATTCTCTTTTTTATTATTAGCAGATTAAGTTAAAACACATAATAAGGGTATATTTTTATTTATTCACTTTTTAATTTGCAATAATAATGAAAGATAATAATTTATTAAATATTTTGATATTGCAAAATAAAATATGAAAAATCGAACATATAAATATACTTAGATGTATTCACATGTTTCTTTAAATCAATGTCCATTCTCGTTCTCTATAGACAAAAATAAAAAAAAAAGGTTTTTACAAATATTGATGTTATTCATTCTACGATGTAAATTTTTACTGCTACACTCATAATCAAGTTTTCTATTTGTTTTCTTATGTAACAAAAGTATACTAGAGTCTCGGTTATTTATTATATTATCATCATAATCTGAATTTTCAGTTCCAATAATCCATAAAGAATCGGACGTTGGTAAATTTTTTACCTGCAAATACCTTAATAAAGATTATGAAGTTTTAATGTTCATAAGGTAAATTTTAATAAATATAATTTATTAAACATTACTTACTAAATTATAATCATTTTTATAATTCTTGTTAAGTATTTTCCCGTAGCAACATGTCTTAAAGCGACACAAGATCCATATTTTATCATTAAATCTCGTTCAAAAATAATTTCTTCGAATTTCATTATTAACTCATCTATAGATTTAACATTTTCCACCTCTTCAACAAATTCATCCTGATTAAAAATCTGATGCAAAGATTTCTTAACTTCACTAATTTCATTAATTATTTCTGCATCATAACAAAGTAAAGGAATTCGTTCATAAATTTAGCAGTCACCGCCATCTTTTTCCGAAACATATTTCATAAACTGTAATTTTCTTTTAGCACACTTTTTAAAAGTTATAAATAATGAACTTTCTTTTATTTAATCAATTCTTTAATCGTATATATTTTATCTAGTGAAACATTTATACTAGAATATATACTGGAATTTATTGAAAGTTTACATACAGTATGTTTAAAATTTCTTGATCTGAGGTTATTTGTATTAGTTGACAAAATAATTTAATTTGTTTAAACAATTATTCGGGATGAATTGTCCCATCGTATCTTGGAGATTCCATTATGAATCAGGAAAAGTACGGGAAATTAATTTCAAAAGCCGATCAATTAAATTTTTATACAACAAGCTGCGGGCTTTATCATTCTGACGTCTTTGAATAACAACCTCAACATATTGAAAGAGAAGAAAACATTAATTGTGAATTCATGACCATTGTTGTACCAATAAATCAAATTTTCGTAATGTCATTTAATTGGTAAGTATTTATTTATACAATAATTGATTAAATTCAATTACTACCTCTATTTTTCTGTAAATTCGTTCCATATATATTTATATACCGGTATTCTAAAAATTTACAATAAAAAAACAAAAAAAAAAAACAAGAAAACTCAAAAATAGTGACAGATACATTAATATAATTGGTTGTTAAAACTTGATCCGGACTAATGTTAATTACCTTATATAGTAATCAATAAGCATCGGAATGGAAACAGAGTATAATTCTTATTATATAATTATTTATACAGATGGATTCATTAAAAAAAACTAATACAGCTAATTTATATTTATTTACATGTATTATTATTATTATTATTATTTTAGCATAAGAAGCATTAAAGATTAAAATTTTCTTTTAAAGTCTCTTATAAACTATTACACAAATTTGGACAATAAGTAGCAATTAAATCGTGATAATCATCAGTAAACCAATATCCGTGACTAAATTCCAAAATGTTCATTTTAGGAGCTGCTTTCAAATTCATTAAAAATGATTCAAGAGATTCAATAGAAAAAGACCAATCCATTCCCACTTTAAAAACTCTTAAAGTCTTTGGCAAAATTTGTCCAAGTTCAACCAATTCATAATCGACATCAATGGTAGTAAGGGGTGTCATATGTAATGGTTTCAATAATTTCATAGGTTTAAGTGATACAACTGCCCATTGAATTTCCATATCATAAATGTGGAAATATTCAAGATTATTACAATTCTTGAGAAGTGCAATAATACTTTCAAGATGTTGTTCTTCGATAGATAAAATAATCGTCGTGATATTCGTAACATATAATTTACTCCAATCAATCACTTTTTGAATTAATTCTGTAGAATAAGGATTTGTAAATTGTAAATTACGTAAAGAATCCCTTGCATGAATAAAGAGCTTTTCGAACGGTTGTAAATTAAAATAACACCCATGAAGGATCAAATCTTTTAATTTTCGAAATGAAGACGGTTCGATGTAAGTCCATGATCCATCACCAGTACAATCTTCCATCTTTAAAATTTGTAAATTTGGAAATAAAGCAATTTGTTGAACGAATCCAAATTCTGCATCAAAGGTGACTTTATATAATTCAATGCATTGCAAATAATTCACATGATTATACGCAAGATATTTCCAACACACGTTAAATCCAGTTTGATCGACCTGATAAAGAGCGATCTCGGATAATTTCTTTTGATATTTAATTAAATTCGCAATCGTCATCATGTTTTTTTCTGGTAAGATAATAATCCATTCCTCTCCTACATTTATATCTTCTTCAGGGCGTACTTCTAAACGCACGAGATCTTGACAAGCATTTGAAGCGATATATGTTTTTCGGAAATCTCCATCACAGATGAGTGTTTTAACTCCCGATAAGCGTTTTGTTGCTCCAGGTAATTCGAAAATATTCAACTCTCCACTTTCCAATAGGTTAACGGTTTCAATCACGTTTGCTTGACTCAAAATGTGTGTACATAAAGCTTCATAAATATGTCTAATCATGGTGAAATTGAAAATTCCATATTCTTGACAAAATAATACGATCTCTTCTATTCCAAAATGTAAAAGTCGAGGGATCAAATGTCGTATAAATCTCGTATAATCAAATAATGGGGGTTTTTGTAACATCACATGCATTCCAACTTTTTGACGGGTCGCTTCAGGAAGACATGTCATATAGGTATAAACTAATGACATCATACGTTTTCGTTGATCAAGTTTATGACAAACTTCCAAAGGATTTCTCCACAAAAGAGGAATTGCAATCGAACACCAACCTCGATTTACTAACGCGCAGGAGTATAAAGTATTACAATCTTCTTTAAAATATTCGAATATATTTAAAAGGCATAGTTCTGGAAGAGAAACCATCTCGGAAATTTATTTTATTTTTTTTTATTTTTTTTTTCCCAAAGAAAGAGAAAAGGAGAATTGTTTTGTCATTGTTTAAACTTTTTCAGTTGATGTTTATGTGATGTGATTGTGTAACAATAAATAAAACCTCGTGATACTGCCAAATTTATATTACAATCTGTCGAATTCCAAAATTAGAAAAGAATGAGGATAGTATCAATACTTAAAGGGACGTAGCAACATATATTCTTTACGCACAAGACAATTCTTATTTATTGGTTTAAATCTCGCGGATTAAAATTATATTTCTATGTAAATATTACTTAACTTTATTGATCGTTATTAGTACCACTCCCAAATATAAAGGTTTAAAGAAATTATTATAATTCGCTTTAGTAAGATTAATAGCAAAAATCATTGCTTTAGCAATAGGTAAATGGAATCCTTCTACCAAATTTAATGAAAAATAAAGAAAAAATATTAAAGGTATTGAATAAGTGAAGTATAAAATACGAGCAACTTTTTTTGAGGTAGTTGTTATTAATGCTTTAAAGAATTAAGATAATATTGACAAGTTGGTGATAGGTTATGTCCTTTTGCGCCAACACGAAGATTTAAATATCTTAAACTTGGTTGACAACCAGCTTCAACAGATGCAGGTTGAGAACTTAACGTTTTGCGATCAATTTTTGATTATCATAAGTAACACTTTCAACATCAATAGCGTTATAACCATGTCCTAAATCGTCATAACCCAACCACCTTCAGTATTCAGAATATGTTGATATTCTTATTTACTTATTAGATATAATATACTGTTTAAAATAAAGAATTTTTCGGGAGCTTCAGGATTGAATTTAAAAGGTAAGTCAGGAAGCCAGGACAACAATGGTTATGAATGTCTTTAGCATATTCATAGGTTATACTTGATTTAAGATGAGAATTTAATGGATGCGGATAAATTGATGCAAAAGCTGGTTCTGACCAAATATATCAAACGAAAGAAAATAATTTGGAACTGTACACGTAACGGATTTAAGCGGCTTTATCTTGCGCATTCCTTCAAGGATCTGAAAATTATTCACATGATGATTTATTTAGTTATTTATGTAAGCTATGCTTAACAAGATACCAAATATAATTTATTCTCTGACTTAAGTGTGATATTTTCTTTATGAATTCCTTTTCAATAATTTTCATAAATATTTTTTTTTCTTACGAAGAAATCATCTACCCATAAATATATATATAAAAAAGTTATGGTAACAGAATGAGACCATTTATAAATTATAAATACGCGGAGGTTAGTATTGCCGTTTGAACACATACGAAACCATATATTTATTTCGATTTTATTAACACATCGGAAGTTTGCCTTTGTATAATCAATTTGACTCTATAAATTTTTTTACTTGATGACGAATGAAGTATTGAAGTATAACTTAACCATAATTGGTATGTATGACTCTATCTTTAATCAAACGCAAATACCGATATAACAATATCGATATACGAATCATACTGATTTTCTTTTTTATTTATTTATTTATTCATTAACCTTACACTTTTCTGTATAAACTTTATTAATTGATTCAAAGTTAATTTCTGCTCATCTCAATATCATTTCCATCATTAAATACCTTACGGCATTGTATCAATTCTCTAATCGTAAATTCAATAGCGTTAGCATTTTAAATATATTTCAACTACTAGCATAGTAAAGTTTCATCTAATTAATGTTTGAAAGTATATCAGCTTTGGTCAAGAATAAATTTATAATTGTTTCATAATGGTAAAAGATAATGTTGCCTTTAACACATTGACACAAAGCAGCAATCCAAAACGTAACATGCTACTCGAAATCTCACTTAATACAAGAGTTTTTTAATTATGTAATGAAAAAAATATATAGTTTCTTAGATATCAATAAATTAATCACGCTAACAAATCCAGATCAAATTAAATAATATATGCATTCGATTGTTCAATAAATACAACATTCAAACACAAGATTTATTAAATAATAAAATAATTTATTACTTAAAAGATAAATTTATTGTTTATTAGATGCAAATCATTTTTACATAGATTTTACATTATTTTTCTTTAAAATTTTTTTTTTATTTTTTCATAAAATATCAAAACATATAATTTTTATTAAAAAACCCTCTCCTTTTGTTTTATAACACAACTTTTATATTCTTGATATTTGATTCAGGTTACCGAAACTTTTTCACTTTTTTATTTTATTTTCAAAATTTTTTTTCTCAAATTACTTTTTTTTAAATCAATTATTCAAATAATGATACTTCAAGAGAATAAATTTATATTAAATATAATTGATGATTCAACTTATTTCTTAATAATCTAGAAAATTGTACTTGCTAAAATTCCAAAAAACATAAAGATCTTTACAAATGTTATGAAAAGATAAGGTTTAAACAATTTATTCACTAATATCTTAAAATACGTAATATAGAAAAAACTGAGCTTGAATTATTTTTAAAGGCTCAACTTATTTCTTTTGAAATAACAAATGAAAAGTAGAAAATAAACTAAAAATAAATTATAAATATAATTTTAATAAATCTCTCTTATTTGCAAATCTTATTTAAAGTTAAATAACATTAAAGAATATTATTTTTCAATTATACAAAAATATTTAAAAGAGAATAGATTTAGAGAATGAATTTATGGTAATATAGGATAGTTATTAAAAGTTTTATTATAAGCTTTTATTGATTTGATATTTCTTTTGCAGTAAAACAATTTTTAATATAATATAATAATATGTATAGCTTATTATTATCATTAAAATATAAAAATGATCCAGATATATTTATTTATCTTCAAAATAATAAAACCTATATATTAATCTATAAAGAATATAAAATTAATATAATATTAAGAATAACAATAATAAAAATTATATCTTATAATAGTTTTATAAATCTTTGATATATATTAACTTCATAAATTAAATTTTAATTATTTGTAAGTGATTTATATAAATTTTATACAAATTTTAAAGTAAAGAAATAATGATTTAGTATAATTATATAATATAAAATATTAAATTACAACAAATTAAAATATAATTATTATAATAATAAAATAAATAAAAACACAAATAATTTGATTATTATATTATATATTATAATTAGTCACAAAATATATCAATATTATATTTTCATAATAAGTAAAAGCAATTTTTTTTAAAAATATATTTTCAGTTCATTTATTTAATATATGTAAATAAAAGAAGAACTAATTAATTAATTAAATTTTATTTTTAAATAAAATAATATTTTTAAAATATGCCAAAAGAAACAAATACTATATTAAATTTAAATTACTATATTCTTCAAGAATTTGCTAAAAAAAAAAAAAAAATATTTAAAAATTACATGTGATAATTATTCAATCAAATAAAAATAATTTATCTTTTTAATTTTAAATATAGTTAATAATATTAAAATAATATGATGATATTATTATATATTTTATAATCCAAGATATATAAAATTTATTTTGAATTTTTTTTTTAAAAAAAAAATACTAAAAAACAAAAATTAATAAAATAAAAAATATTGAATAAATTATAAAAAATATAAATAATAGAAAATAAATCAATTTATTATAAGAATAATTTAGAATAAACTTAATATAATTTCAATAATTTTTTAAAGTTTCATTTTAAGCCTTTTTCTAATATCAAATAATATTAACATTTTTAGTTTAGTAGTCATTTTAATAATATTAGAAAGATTTATATTTCAAAAAGTCTAAAGACATAGAAAAGTTTTTTTATAATAATTTTAACATTAATAAAAATTAAATATAATTCATATTTCTTCATTAATAAAAAAACAAAAAATTTTTTATTTACAAAATATTTATCAATATATTAACAATTATTATAAAAATATTTATTTTTAAAATTTATATATTTATTATTTTATTTTTAAAAATTTGTTAAAAAAACTTTACTAAAATTTCCAAATTGTGAAATTTTCATGATTAATTATAATATAATAGATAACTTCAGCTATAAATTTATAATGACCTATAAAATACTAGTTAATATATAATTATTATAATAAAGTGTTAATATTATATACATTTACTACCTATTAAGATAATTATAAATCAATTTTACTATATTAATACTATTTATTAATTAATTATTATTGAAATTATTGAAGAAATAATAAACATTTTTTAATTTAAATGAAATTTAATAAATATAATTTTTAAAAATAATTAATATATAATAAATATAAAGTAGATATATAAAAATAATTAATAAATTTATTATTAAAATTTATTAAATATTAAAAATAAGAATCACAATTAAAAATAATAATACAATTAAGTTATAACTTATGATACAATTAAATCTACTATAGTATAATTAAGTTGTAATTTAAAAATAATTATAAAGATTATCTTTAATAAATATATTATGAATAATTAATAAAAATATCTTTAATATTTTATTTTTATAATAGTTATATAATATATAAAATTTTGTAGTAATATAATAAATAAATATTATATAATTTAAAGAAATATATATTTCTTATATATAAATTATTTTCAAAATTGTGATTATTATTATTGTTACATTTATAATAATAAATAAAATACTTTATTTTATTTATATCAACTTTATTTAAAATAATTTTTTATATATTTTGAAACTTATCTAATTTTATTTAATCAGTAATTTTGAATCTACTGTCTAGTATTGCATAATATACCTCTATTTATTTATATCTCACTTTAAAATATTTGAGTATTATACTAAATATAATCAAATTTTATGTCAAAAGTTTTATATAAGACCTAAGTATAATCTTGAAAATTTATTAATTAAAATAAAATAATAATAATCTTATAACTAAAATTCTGAATAAGTTCAGATTAATTCAAATTATTTCAGATAATATGATTTTACTTTAGATCAGATTAAAAAAATATCTTTATAAACCAATCTGAATCTTATAACATTAAGT